GAGGGTCGCGCAGCTGTCCAGGGAGCGCGGAGAGCCGGCGGCGGCGCGGAGAGCACCAGGCAAACTTTCACTTTCCCCAGCCGGCTCCACCGGCCAGCTCCTCGGCACAGCCTTTTAAAGCGGACTTTGTGGGGGCATGTGGTTTATGGGAAATCACCTTGGACGGGCGCCAGAAACACACACACACACACACACACACACAGACTCGCACACACTCACACACGCACACGCACAAACACGCGCTCGCGCGCTCGCGCACTGACACAGACAGACACACTTCCGAGGTACCCTCAGCCGCCTCCCGCCCCCACCCTCGGGCTGGGCTTCCCCGCCTGTCTTCAGTGGCCTGGTCTTTGCTCAGCTCCAAAGCCTTAGGGAAAGTAGCGGGCTCCACCTCTCGCCCTCCTGCGCGCCCCGCTGCGGACAGTCCTTTCTTTCCTTCCTCGCTCTCCAGGCGGATCCGGTGCTCGCTCTTTCTAACATTCCTCTCAAGGGACTTTCCCTCTAGGCCTGAAAATTCCCAAACCCGACCAGGAAATGGGCTAGAGCAGGGGCAAACACTGAAGACTGGGGCCTTCCCCGGCTGTGCGCGACGCTGCACCTGGTGGAACCCAGAGTCGGCGGTTTTGCAGGCAGCCCCCCGCTTTCTCCGGAGCCCCCAAGCAGCACTCCTAGCGTCTTGTCTCCAATTTGGGGGGCAAGGTTCAGGCGGGGAGGCTAGCTATCTGGCCAGGAGGGGAGGGATTGTGTCCTGGGACAGAGAGGCTCTGCTGTGTGCTAGGAGACAGTCTGGGCACTTGACTAGTGCCCCGACAGTCCGTACCGGTGATGTAAATGCTGGCTGGTACTCACGCTCTCTCCTGACCGCTAAAACCTTGGGCAATTGGCATCTGGGCCCTAGATTGGCACCTGGGCCCTAGATTTCCCATGGTGCTCTTGGAAATGCTTATACTGGGAAGATTAATCACGTTTTGTTTCTACATGGAATGACTCTAAATGAGACCTAATAGGATGAGCCTATTAAAAATGCAGCTTGGGGAGTTTTTTCTTTCTTCGTTGTGATTCAATGTTTCAATCCCATTGTGAGACCATCCATGCCCACCTCCTGGGAAATATATGATATGTGGCCTGGCCTGGAAGAGGCATCTCTTGTCACTTGTTCCAGCCCTAAGTAGTAATTTTACACCTGAATGTCCTTGCTCATTATTAGTCCCTCTTCTTGGAATGTTCCTTATCCCACCTGTGTTTAAGACAAACTCCTTGTCCTTCAAGGCTGAAATCACACCACATCCTTTACCAGCAATGCCTTCTTCCCTAGGTGGATCAATGAGTCCTTTTCCTGGATTCCCACTGGACTTGGCTCCTTCCTCCCTGGTGGCTCTGCTAAGTTGTCATTCATTCAGTCATTCTCTATATTATTCTAAAAAGTATTTAAGGTGGTGTTGATGAATATATTCTGCCCCCATCCTGGACTGAGACCTCCTCCAGGCTGGTCCGTGTTCACTTACCTCCAGGTCAACAACACCTAGCACATACTAGGCCTCCAGTTAGCAGTGACTGAGAAGAATGAGTCCATTAGGGAATCATTAATTCATTTGACAAATGTGCACCGTGTGACTACTATGTGGCAGGCCACTGTGCTGGTCCTGGGGATATGATAATGGACATGCTGACATGGTCTCTGATGTCATGGGCTTGGGAGCAGTCACAGCTAAGAAGTGTGGGCAGGTATGGGTGTTCAGATCTCTGAGGAAGGAAGAAAGAGAGAGCTTGGCCAGAGGAAGGAGGTCGAGGGTTTACTTCTGCCGGGCATGTTTATCAAGTGGTCCCTGTACAATAACAATTTAAAATAACATGTTGATACCACAGTTCTTAGGACTGCTAAGAAGTTACAGGAAGCACAGTGATATGAGAAGATAAATCTCTGGACTTGTTGGAAGGGAGTCAAATTTTACCTGCTTCCTTCACCAACCCAGCCCTGGCCTGGGTTCACTGAGGAACAGACAGCTCTGCCTCCTCCCTATCAGGGCAAAGCTTGGGTCCCTGTTCCCCACCAACTGACATTCTTTACATACCCCAGTTTGAACTCTGACTCCACCACTCACAACCTATCTGACCTTGACAACTCTGCTCCATCATTTACTGTGTGACTTTGGACAAACCTCTCTCGGCCTCCGTGTCTTCTTCATCTACGAAATGGAGACATTGATTTATCTTTCTCACAAAGTGTTCAGGAATGAATGGGGTGGTGCCTGTGAAGTGTTTAGCACAGGACCTGAAGGTAGTGAGTATTATTATTATTATTATTATTATTATTATTATCTGACCACTCACATGGGTCTTCAGCAACAACACAACATGGTGCAATGGACTTGGGAGTCCCAATACCGGAGTTTGGTCCCAGCTCTGCCACTCATTTGCTGTGCAACTTTAGACGAAGTCCTTTATCCTTCTGAGAGCCTCCTTTCCTCCTTTCCTGTGAAATGGGAATGATAAGCCCTTTCCCCAAGGAGTGGTACTGAGGTCAAAACACTGACGTATGGGGGTCTCCAGGGCAACAAACAGTGCAAAGTAAGTGCTTAGCTATGAAAGAATGCTTCAGAATCATAGGCTTCGGGACGCTGAAGCTGCAGAGAGATGACAGGGCCCTGGATAACTGTGACTCCACAGTGGGACTTGCAGCTGTCTCATCTCTGTTACCTTAAAAGGAGAGGTAGCTAATCTGCTTGACCTCAGACAAGTTTTACCACCAAACGTGGGGAAATCAAGGCTGGAAGGGCTAATGGAGGCCTGCTGGGCCTCCCCTGGGCAGCATCTCCCGTGCTTCCTCCTGCACTGGGCAGATAATCCTGCTTCTGCCCCTGGGTGGGAGACCTTAGGCAGGCAGGTCCTGGCTGGCTCTTAGGGCCAAGCCAGCAAGATGGCGTCATCTGTATGTGGCTCCTTAGCTGTTCATACCTGTGCAAGCCTGCGTGTGCCCATTCGCGGGCAGGGAGGGTCAGAACCATAGACACAGTCTGGGCTGGGGTCCTCAGGAGTGAGTCTTGGAATGAACCGACTTTGGGTCCCTCCTGTGTGCTCTCTCTGGTCAGGTTAGCCGCTGTTCCCCTTGCTGACTAGTGGCGGAGTCATGTCCGGAGCTGGGTCCTGGGGGAGGCTTTGAGGAATTTGGAACAATCTGAGATTTAGGGTTTCAATGATTTCCTAATGTAACATCATCAAGAAGGCAGTGCTCAGCTGACCCCGGAGGAGGGCAGAAGGAAGTACCGGAGGGACCCTGCTTGCCAGAGGAGGGAACCAAGGGCAGGAGGAGATTGAAAAGAGAGAAATGGTGATGGATGTCAGGAAGTGGGAGGAAAGCCCCACTTGCTAGTTGTCGAAATGTCATTTCCTTGAAATTACTCGACAGGCAATTTCCCCTTGGGATCTTTTTGCGAGAGTTGAGCTCTATCAGAAAGGGCTTCTTTTCTTTTTTCTTTTCTTTTTTCTTTGTCCTCCTCCCTCTCTCCCTCCCTCCTTCCTTCTTTCCCCCTTTCTCTCTTTCTTCTTCCATATCTTTGCCCCTTCTTCTCTGTCTCTTTCACTCTCCTTCCTTCCTCCCTCTCTCCCT